AAAAAAGTAAAACCTTTACAGTAGCATCAACATGATTAAGAGACAAAGATAAAAACAGCAGCTATGTTGGTTGATCCACTATAAAAGTCCTTGCGGAGGAGAAACTTTTATGTTTTGACTGCTACTTTGGAACACAGTTTAAGGCAGGGGGTCTCAAATTCAAACTGGCATGGGGCCACTGGGAGTACTGTCGACTTAAAGGAGGGCCACTACAAAGTTCAAGCACCACAAAAAGGACTTTATTTTTGCAAATGTACTTTTTGTTTCTGCAAAATTTTGTCACACATCACTAATACAAACAGCAGTTTATATACATTTTTCACAACATCTGCTTTCATTTAGTAGTGCAAGTCTTTTGTGTTTGCTTTATTACTTAAATAACTAAAATAACTTAATCAAATAATAAATAAAACTTGCACTGAACCAAAAAATGCAGTTACTCAAAATACCAATACATTAATCCTGCATTCTATTTCTTGCCAGACACCTGGCAGCGCTTCTGCTCACACAGCTGAGCCACATTTACCTTGATGGAGGTCACAGTTGAAACCCTGAGTACAGCTTCAAGGTGTGCATCACTAAGCCTGGACCTGTACTTGCATTTATTAAAGTTCATTGTCGAGAAAAGTTTCTCACACAGATATGTGCTTCCAAAAAGGCACATTATACGACTGAACAATTTGGATAGCTCTGGGAAGGATGCAGGTAATTCTCTTAGAAACTGTCCAGTCAGGTCTGCCTTCCCCTGTACCTCTCTGAATTTATTTTTCAGTTCACTGTTACACTGCAGGTCAACAAGTTCCATTTGCAACACACTTGGTACACTCTCAACATCAGCTGAAAAAGGGTCTGCAAATACCTGGAAAGTGAAAGTCAGCAAAACGCTGATCAAACTCCTGCAGAAGATTGTCAATAGCAGAGGCATATTCATCACCTCTGTACCAGCGCAACTAGTCCGTTTTTTTTGCCTGTCATGGACGGGGCTCCGTCAGTGGTGATGCCAACCAGTCTATTCCATGGCAAACCCGCACACTCAATCGCGTCAGAGAGCTGCTGAAAAATGTCCTTGGCTGTAGAGCGGCCGTGCATTGCGCACAAACTCATCAGTCACTTCGAATTAGTTATTAATACCCCTGATGAATATGGACAGCTGGGCAGTGTCCGTTTTATCCGTGCTTTCATCAAGCGCCATAGAGTATGCAGTGAAACGTTTTGCTCTGTCACATAACTGGTCATGAATGTCACTTGATAAACTGCTAATCCGCTCTGCCACAGTGTTTGCCGATAGAGAAATATTGTTGAACAAACTCTTCTTTTCTGGACACAGAATGTCAGCAACTTGCAACATGCACTCCTTCAGAAACTGTCCTTCCGTGAATGGTTTCCCCGTTCTGGCAATTAATTCACTCAACACGTAACTTGCTTCAACAGCAGCATCGGCCTCCTTCTTGGATTTGTGGAAAAGACTTTGCTGAGAAAGAAAATGGCCCGCGGGCCGGCAGTTTGAGACCTCTGGTTTTAGGGTTTTATTATTCTTACTCCATCCAGGTCGTCAAAACAATTCTCCATGGGGTCCAGCTTGGTTGAAATTGTATTACGATTTCAGAAAAAGAAAAAGGAAATGAGTTTGAAGAGAGAATACCGGAAAAAAAAATATGCTTAAAAGTCTGATCAGAGTTGTTTGTTGTTGTCTAGCAGCTGGACGCCGCGATCATGGATCTCGCGCTGTCTCGTGAGAGTTGCGTTCACCGTGGCATTGGCGTTCTTCTGCTTAAATTAAACTTACCGGCCTCGACACACGAATCGCACTGATTGAAGCTGTACACTAAAAAAAGGGTGAGATTTCTGCCAAAGCACCCTGTCTCTCACCCACAAACAACAAAAAGTCATAATAACATACAATTCTAAGTTAGTTTTACTTCAAGTCCATGAAAATGCTGTGTTTACTCAATATTATACGTTTATGTCCCCTCAACTAAATGAAAGGTTTCCAACTTTGAATAGTAGTTCATATTAACTTAAAAATGGCGAGCTCTGTCGAACCCACCTTGCTCACAGACAGGTGGTCCATACGTCTGTTGTTAGTGCAACAGAAGGCGCAACTGTTATTTGTGCTCATCTGCATATGATTTTGAACATTGTCACACGGCACTTTTAGGGAGAAATCTCGCGCGAGATTTCTCCCGAAGCTGCCCTGTCTCTCGTCAAAAGCTGTAAAAAAAAAAAAAGAGCAGAAAAGAAAGAAGCAAAACAGCAAATTATACAAAAGAAATAATTTATGATTTTATTGCAGATTTGACATGTACATTTTGGCCACAAAGCTTAAATGTCTTGTAGAAGACTCTAATCACTATTTAACTAATAAGCTAGCATTTAAAGGGTTACAGAATGTTGAATGTTTGGTAGTTTTGAGCAATTTGGAAGTTGTTTAAATCAGGTTCAGGTTCAGGTTCAGGTTACTTTATTTTTACCCTTCGGTAGTTTTGTTTTGCAGCCAGCAAGATGCTGTGATATTCATCACATAAATTACAGAGTGGATATAGCAAGAGACAACCACATAAGAGAAAAGGAAAAACTTTTTCAACCAATAAGAGTTATACAAATCACAAATAAATGAATTATTCCTTCTGCTCGGATAAAAAGAGTTTTGCTTGTGCAAATATCGCGACAGCTAATTTAGTTCAGTGATAGCAGCAGGAAACTTTCTTCTGCACCTTTGGACCTCTGTCCACAGGAAAGAAGCTGAAAATAACTGTGCAAAGGGGTTGGTGTCATCCTTTAAGATAGAGTTATATAGCTATCCGCTGTGACTGTCCAGTAAACAGGGATGCTGGGTAGAGCTGTGAGTCACCAATCAGCCAACTTTACCATTTAACACTGTGGTTTAAGGAATTTCTATCTTTTAAAGATGTGTTGACCAAACCATGACACCAAAAAAAAAGGCAGCCTGAGTCAGTGGCTATACTATACTGCAATCTGGCCTAATGCTGCGCTATGACCTGAAAGTAAACAACAGGACAGTGGAAGAAGGGCATCTGATAGCGCTACACAGTTTGGCAGTAGTTGCAGCTATAATTTGGAGAAAATGGTGTGACCACATTTAGCACAGGCATGAATACTTTAACCTGTAAGGAGGACTGAAAGCTGTTGTTAGCGATGCTAACGTTAGCCACACTCAGCAAACCTATTTGACATCGTTTACAGGCGGACAAATTTAACCCACAATGCACTTTTGCAACATTTTGGTTAACTTCCCTCGCTTGGTTCGGACCACGTTCTCACAGGGCGAACCGAACTCTGGTGCACTTGGAAGTTCCCCGTTTTCAAGTACATAAATTGGTTCTTTTGTCAATACCAGGGTTAAAAACAACTATGCTTTTTCCCTGAATTTGATCAGATATGTTGGTAGCTATAATACACCAAATGTTTTCATAATGTTGTTTACAGTTAACCTTAAAGATAATACTTGTATTTGTAGTAGCATTTTTTTTTCACCAAAAACTGTTTGAGTGGAAGTTCAATAGACCTCCTTTTTGTTTCTGCGTTTACTTGAAAGTTGGACCCTGTTCCCACTGAGCTGTTAATAAGTGCATAATAAAGTATTTATTAATCTTTATAAGTTGTGTTCCCACTTTAGATCCAGTACCTGCAGAGGAGCTTTATTAACTCTTAATAAGTGCATAATAAAGTATTTATTAATCTTTATAAGTAGTGTTCCCACTTTAGATCCAGTACCTGCAGAGGAGCTTTATTAACTCTTAATAAGTGCATAATAAAGTATTTATTAACCTTTATAAGTAGTGTTCGCACTTTAGATCTAGTACCTGCAGAGGAGCTTTATTAACTCTTAATAAGTGCATAATAAAGTATTTATTAACCTTTATAAGGCATTGATATGAACCTAATAAAGTCTTATCAATGTCAATAAACATCTTATGAATGTTGATAAGTGGTCTATAAACAAGTTTCTTTGTGTTAATTAATATCTTACAAGCCAATTATAAATTAATTTATAGTTTAATTAACACTCATGAAGTCTTATTAATGTTCATAAACATCTTATTAATGTTTATGACGGTATATAAAGTGTCAGTACATTTCTAATAAGAGCCTATAAGTTTCTTCTTTCTGGATCTGGTGTGATTTGGATTCAACAAGACTCGTTCGTGTCTCACATCGATCATGCAGAATGGGATCCTTGCGCGTATCTGTGAAAGTGTTGGTGTGTTAGGTAGAGAGAGAGACAGAGAGAGAGGTAGTTGAAATGCGCGGTGCATTCTGATAAATACCTCATTTTTTTCTGTAAAAAAAATAGCTTGTCGCTTTTTCTACTCGTGAGGAAGTCCAAAGCCTTTTTTGTTCACTCCACATTCAAGCTGGAAGTTGTGTTGCCCGGAGCCTCCTGGGAGTCTTGTACCTTCCCAGCCCCGTTTTGGGGGGGTTGATTTGTCCCCCTGTGGATCATCAGCATGGAGGATTCTCCATTTTGGAGAATATCAGTACAATGGTAAGATCCAATTATCAACTGTAACTTTAATGTATCGAATCAAGCTTGCATTTTGCATTTTTAGTTTTTTTGCACGAGCGTTGAGCTATAGTCTTTGAGGATGTTTAGGGGAGGGGAATTGAATAAGCATGCCGGGATCTTGCGGCATGTGTCGGCTGGGCTCAGTGAGGAGGTTCCCTTCTTTCTCGTGACTCCTCACATCGAGCAGATTGCACAATTGCTGCAAAACATAAACCATCAATCAAGGATTGCAGAAAACATTGCACGGGCTTATTAGAGGTAATGAGCTCACTGACACCCACTGCATGTTCTTTAACATGTTGACAAATGGGTATACTCTTCATATTTGCTCATATGCATTAGGAGGTTTAACACCTTTAAGTCTCTCAAAGTGGTTACTGAATAAAGATTGAAGTGAAAGGAAGGTCATACATGACGTTTGCTGCTTAAAAATGATGTCAGTCAACATGCATTTTAACAGTACAGGCCTGCAACATATTGGCGTTTGCAGGAATTACATTAACCAACATTATGTCAATACCAGCTTCCGTTTCATGTATTTAAGGATGTAGTATTTGGGCGTTTGTATTCCTGAAGATCAAATACAATCCAGGCACTACAGAACTCTGATGTTTGGCTCCTCAAACACACACACACACACACACACACACACACACACACACACACACACAGATCACACACCAGTACAAGTCTTTAGGTTCAGAGTAATAAGACCTGATAGTTCCTGTCATGTGACCATGTACAAGTGTTACTGCACACTTTATCTTTAAATATTGATAAGGCAATGTATCCTGAGGTAACGCATATCCAGTGCCAAATCAATAAGAGAACATTTTTTTTGTTTTTTTTAAATCCTAAACAAGCACACACACACGAACCCAGCTGATTTCCTGTAAATGGAGGGGGAGGGGCAACACTAACCAAGTCATCCAGGCTCATGAGAGGAGGCGGGACGGTGAAAGTGAAAGTGTTCAGTTAGTAAGACTCCATTTTAAATAGACAGCAGCAGAGAACTGAAGAGTGAAGCGGGGTGAGTGTTTATCCAGTTTTTATATCTTCACTTCTGTTGTCTCAGTTTTCTCCTGAGAACTGAACACAGAGAGTTTCAAATGAAGTCACAACTGAGATTAATATGACGTGTGTGTGTGTGTGTGTATGTCGCTGGATCAAGCTGTTTCCTGTTTCTTGTGTGTTGATCTCTCAGTGTGTGTTTCTGTTTTTCCTCTTAGACTGACTTCAGATCAGAACATGGACGTGTGTTTAGAGGACGAGGAGGACAGAGCAGAGTCTCCTGTACCCAGCTGTCTGTCTATGAAGAGTGATCTGTCCAAAGATGAAAATCCATACTTCAGTAAAGAACCTGGACCCTCAGACACAAAGTAAGAAAACTTACCAACTTATTACACTTCAGATTTAATTTCTACTTAAATCAATCTGCTAGCTTAAACTTTCTGATTTAAAGAGAAATCATTTGATATTAAAGAGGACATATCATCCCCCTCCTCCACCTTTTCAAACAGTCCCCTGTGGTCTAAATGAAACATCTGTGCTGTGCTTTGGTCAAAATATAACATGAATCAAGCACCAGAGGAGGTTTTTGACCCTGTATAAACAGCTCTCTCAGAACGCTCCGTTTTGGTGTGTGTGTCTCTTTAAATGTAATGACCGCCCCCTGAGTTTTCCCAGTAGACATCACTCCTTCACTAGCAATAATAAAAATGGTTGACCTGCGCAAAAGTTTTGTTCTAGTCTGGGGGTGGAGTCCATGGGTGGAGGTACCAGGGGAGGGGAGGAGATTTATTTTTACCAGAATCCCACTGTGACATCACAAGGAGAGCACATTTGAAACAGAGCTCTCTGTGTTGTAAGACTTATGCAGACCACAAACAAAGGACTGGATGAGTTTTTTTCACATTTTGTGGGTCAGTAGACTCTCAGGTTACCCAGATATATGTTCAACAACATTGTAGAAGTGGATTTTTCATAATTTGTCCCCTTTAAAAAAAATCCTCCTTAAAAATGTTCAGCCTGTCATCATATCAGGCCGTCTGAAGTAGCAGAAACCAAAAATACTTAATTTAACAAGAAGGCAAAAGTCAAAAACAAGCTACTTGTTTAAAGATCAACAAAAATCCACAAACAGGTAGAAACACAAAACTCAGGGAGCCAGAGAGCAAAAAGCAAATGAAACAGGAGCACAGGAAGGTAGACGACTGACAATGAACTGACACAGAAGAAACACTAAATACAAGGGGCAATCAAACCCAGGTGAGACAGACAATGAGGGCGATCAAAACTGGAGGGAAACACACAGGCTGGAGGAAGCACTAAAGACACAACACACAGAGGGAAAAACTACAACATGAAACAGGAAACACTGAAAAGTAAACACAGGAAATGAACCAAATATGAAACTAAACAGGAATCATGACACAGTGATCTTTTCTGTATCACCACTGTGTGCAGGTTGCTCATTCAAAACAAGAACATTACCTCGTCTGGGTGCCCAGACTTCTGTTTTTTGTTGCTGTGGTATCTAAAAAGGTATTCATGTGATGGAAATATAACAAAAGTTTGTTATTGCAGATTTGAGTGGAGCAGACAGAGAGCAGAGTCTCCTGTACCCAGCTGTCTGTCTATGAAGAGTGATCTGTCCAAAGATGAAAATCCATACTTCAGTATTGAACCTGGACCCTCAGACTCAAAGTAAGTCTGCTTACTAACTCCTTCTCACTTCAGATGTTTCCTTGGTTGTGGCGTTAGATCTGTTCGAAAGGCTCTCTGGGTGATGATGTCATAGCCCCGCCCCCGAGTGTGAGAGTTAACTGTTTCTTGTTAACTGCTCTGTCTGAATCACCAGTTGTGTTGAGTGCTTTATTGTGTGCGTCCATGAGAACCTAACCACACACGTACACACGGATATTCTTACACACATCCTAACAGACAAACAGCTACCTATGCCCAGATACTGTACCAGCTTGGCTGTATTTCAACACACTGGAATAAATGAGAAACTCAAGAAGGAAAACTGCTTCACTGGTGTGCTTACCGACATCACCCGAACAACACTCACCATCCATACCCAGTTATACAGTCCTAACCAGGTCCTCACCTACAGGATCAAACTGGTTTCCTGTTTCTTGTTTGTTGATCTCTCAGTGTGTGTTTCTGTTTTTCCTCTTAGACTGACTTCAGATCAGAACATGGACGTGTGTTTAGAGGACGAGGAGGACGGAGCAGAGTCTCTTGTACCCAGCTGTCTGTCTCTGAAGAGTGATCTGTCCAAAGATGAAAATCCATACTTCAGTAATGAACCTGGACCCTCAGACACAAAGTAAGTCTTCTTACTAACTCCTTCTCACTTCAGATGTTTCCTTGGTTGTGGCGTTAGATCAGTTCGAAAGGCTCTCTAGGTGATGACGTCATAGCCCCGCCCCTTGGACCATGTGCAGCTCTACTCACCTCATGTAGTTCATTTAAGCAGTGTGTGATAGTTAACTGTTCCTTGTTAACTGCTCTGCCTGAATCACCAGTTGTGTTGAGTGCTTTATTGTGTGCGTCCAAGAGAACCTAACCACACACGCACACACAGATATTCATACTGGAATAAAGGAGAAACTCAAGAATGAAAAGTGCTTCACTGGTGTTCTTACCGACATCACCCAAACAACACTCACCATCCATACCCAGTTATACAGTCCTAACCAGGTCCTCACCTACAGGATCAAACTGGTTTCCTGTTTCTTGTGTGTTGATCTCTCAGTGTGTGTTTCTGTTTTTCCTCTCAGACTGACTTCAGATCAGAACATGGACGTGTGTTTAGAGGACAAGGAGGACGGAGCAGAGTCTCCTGTACCCAGCTGTCTGTCTCTGAAGTTCAAAAATGAACCTTTACCTTCAGACATAAAGTAAACAAACCTGGAAACCTTCTCGTTATCAACAGCTGTAGATCTTTTTGTATACGGCTTCTTTTACAGCATTGTCATCAGAGAGTTGATCAAAGATTCATAGAAATATAAAACTTGTTGGTTTTTTGCAGAGTTGAGTCGCGCAGACAGAGAGCAGAGTCTCCTGTACCCAGCTGTCTGTCTATGAAGAGTGATCTGTCCAAAGATGAAAATCCATACTTCAGTAAAGAACCTGGACCCTCAGACACAAAGTAAGTCTGCTTACTAACTCCTTCTCACTTCAGATGTTTCCTTGTAGGGTCGCTCAGTCACCTTGTAAAGCTGTAATCTAATCTAAGAGGACTCTTACAAAGCTTTGGACCTGCTCCTTATCCTCTTACTTCTCATTTGTACGTTTATTACCAACAGAAGATGGCGTTCAGCACGTCCCCTGTTTCAAAGAGTTTGTTATTGTCTCAGTTTAGTTTTTTCCATCATCGTCTGATATGATACTGTGTGGTCATAGGTAAGAAGGTATTTGAGAAACCAGAGAGCCAAAGGAAAAGGCTGTGTGACAGGTAAAGTGTAGAGAAGATAATAAACTGAGTCTTTACTGCTTTAATAAAAAAAACTGCACACAGATCATTATTGTTTCAAAAGACAGTGAGAGAGAAAATGTTCTTCTTTAGTCTTTAAGAAAGCAGGAATGTTAAAACACAAGAAACACTCATCTCACTGCAGACTATGAGCTGAATACAAACATAAGAAAGAAGGTGTTACCTGCTCTCTATGATCATCTAAGTGTTTGGATCGTGTTTGATAAATCTTCATTTTCACATCAGTCAACAATCAGTTTAGTTCTAAAGATATGTCTTCACAGGGGGACGAAGAGGACTCATGTTATAGAGGAGCAGCCGTCCTGTCCTTTGTGTCAGGACGTCCTGAAGGATCCCGTCTCTACCAGCTGTGGACACTGGTTCTGCAGACAGTGCATCACCTCATACTGGGACCAGTCCGGTTCACCAGGAGACTCGTCCTGTCCTCAGTGTGGAGAAAGATCCAGAACAGGACCTGGACTGCAGACAGTCAGTCAGAGCAGCACTGAACGAAGTAAGACTGTACACCTTTCTGCTTCTGTGATCTCCTCCTAAAACAGGACTTTTATTTGTAAATGTAAAAAGTAAAGAAATGAAAACTCTTTTTTTCTTCTTTTACAAAAACATTTGAAAATAATAAGCAGATTCCATCATTCTCTCTTTCAGTAGATAGAGGTCTGCAGGAGGTTTTAGATGAACATAAGGTCAGTCTGAGGAGGAGATGTGAATGTGTGACTGAAGGAAGTGATGATACAGGAAGTAGAACCCTCCTCAACAGGATCTACACTGAGCTCTACATCACAGAGGGACAGAGTGATGAGATGAACACCCAACATGAGGTGAGAAAGATTGAGAGAGACTCTAAAAAGAAGACCCTCCATGAGACTCCAATCAAGTCCCAGGACATCTTTAAAGCCTTACCCAACCAACAGAAACCAAAGACAGGAGCTCAACCCGACCAACAGAAACCCATCAGAGTGGTTCTGACAAACGGCGTCGCTGGTGTTGGAAAAACCTTCTCAGTGCAGAAGTTCACTCTGGACTGGGCAGAGGGCTCAGAGAACCAAGACGTCAGTCTGGTGATCCTGCTTTCATTCAGGGAGCTGAACTTGATCGGAGATAAGGTGTACAGTCTTCTTGAGCTGCTCCGTGTTTTCCATCCAACATTACAGAAGGTCACAGCAGAGACGCTCGCTGTCTGTAAACTGTTGTTCATCTTTGACGGCCTGGATGAAAGCAGACTGTCATTGGACTTCAAAAACAGGGAGGTTGTTTCTAATGTCACACAGAAATCATCGTTAAACACACTGTTGACAAACCTCATCAAGGGGAATCTGCTACCCTCAGCTCTCATCTGGATAACTTCTCGACCTGCAGCAGCCAATCAGATCCCTCCTTCATGTGTTGACAGGGTAACAGAAGTACGAGGCTTCACTGATGCCCAGAAGGAGGAGTACTTCAGGAGGAGGTTCAGTGATGATGAAGATCTGTCCAGCAGAATCATCTCACACATCAGGACATCCAGGAGCCTCCACATCATGTGTCTGATCCCGGTCTTCTGCTGGATCACTGCCACAGTTCTGGAGCACATGATGAGCACAGAGCAGAGAGGAGAGCTGCCCAAGACCCTGACTGACATGTACTCACACTTCCTGCTGGTTCAGACAAAGAGGAAGAAGAACAAGTATGATGAGGGACCTCAGATGAGTCCACATGAGCTGATGGAGGCTGACAGGGACGTTCTTCTGAAGCTGGGGAGGCTGGCATTTGAACAACTGGAGGACGGAAACATCCTATTCTACCAAGAAGACCTGGAGCGGTGTGGTCTGGATGTCACAGAGGCCTCGGTGTACTCAGGAGTTTGTACAGAGATCTTCAAAACAGAGTGTGTGATCTTCCAGAAAACAGTCTACTGCTTTGTTCATCTGAGTGTTCAAGAGTTTCTGGCTGCAGTCTACATGTTCCACTGTTTCACCAACAGGGACACAACAGTTCTGAAGGCTTTTCTGGAAGAAAAAGAATTGAAAAGATTTTCAATCAAGGATATTCTCCAAAATCAACCCATGATGAAATCTAGGAAGTCAGTTACTGACAGTCGTTCCTGTCAAGATTACGATGACAGGAACGACGACCTCCCCGAAGATGACTACCGTGAAGAAGACTTCCGCAAGGACGACTTCCCCGTAGACGACTACTACGAACACGACTACGACGACTTGCTCGTAAACGACTTACCCGTAGACGACTACGACGAACACGACTACGACGACTTGCCCGTAGACGACTTCCCCGTAGACGACTACGACGACTACAACAACTTCCGCGAAGACGACTACGACGACTATGACGACTACAATGACTTCCGCGGAGATGACTACGACGACTACAACGGCAACAGCGAAGACTACGGCAAAAAAGACAACGTCAGCAAAGGCGACAATAGCGGCAAAAAAGACAACGTCAGCAAAGGCGACAATAGCGGCAATAACAACAGCGATGACTACACTTCTTTAAAAGTCTTTCTCGGTAGAGCCATGGAGAAATCCCTGAAAAGTAAAAATGGTCACCTGGACCTGTTTGTTCGCTTCCTTCATGGACTGTCTCTGAAGTCAAACCAGGGGCTCGTAGGAGGCCTGCTGGGTCAGACAGACAACAGTCCAGAAATGATCCAAGGAGTAATCAACAACCTGAAGGAGAAGAACAGTAGAGATATCTCTCCTGACAGAAGCATCAACATCTTCCACTGCCTGATGGAGATGAAGGACCTCTCAGTCCATCAGGAGATCCAAGAGTTCTTGAAGTCAGAGAACAGATTAGAAAAGGAACTCTCTGAGATCCACTGCTCTGCTCTGGCCTACATGCTGCAGATGTCTGAGGAGGTTCTGAATGAGTTGGACCTGAAGAAGTACAAGACATCAGAGCAGGGACGATTGAGACTGATTCCAGCTGTGAGGAACTGCAGGATGGCAAAGTAAGTCCAGATGTTTAGAGCATTATAAATCAGTGTCATGTACTAATTCACTTATTCTAAAACTAAACAAAATCTTCACTGTTCCCCAAATAGTGTTCGACTGTTAATGTTCAGGAGAAATAGTCAGTCGTAGTTTTTATTTTTATTGCCCTGAGTTCAAAAAGTGCTTTGATAGTTTTTTTTGTGAACACATTCAGGAGGGAATTCCCAAAGAACTGACTGAGATGGCTGATAGTGTTGATCCCTGAAAAGGGAGATATCAGATGCTATGGGCCCCCTTCCACATCTGCCAGCCTAGCAGCCCTCATGCATGGGTCCTGTGAGAGACCCTCCTTTAGATGTTCAATACCAAGGCATGAATGGCAACGATCGTGGCAATCCTCAGGATTGAACAGGGCCATATAGTTAGCACAGTTATGAGAATTCATCCTAGCGGCTATGTCCGATGAAGAGGACTGGTGAGTCAGGCAGAGTGAGAGCACTCCACTGACTGAAATATCCAAATCAGCAAGTGACGATAGTCTAGCTAAAGTTAGCCTGAGCAAGAGCACTTCACCTAAGTGTGAGAATGTGAGGCAAAATCAATATTACACTACTACAGCAAGAGGGGAGCGAAAGCACGCTCTTCACAGATACTTTAACCAGTATGTAACACACACACACATATATATATATATATATATATATATATATATATATAAAAAAAAAAAAAACACCTATTGAACTTGCTCATGTTAGCACACCATCAGTTAGCCTGAGCGGGAGCACTCTGTTTCTCCTTGGAAAGAGACAGCTTGTCGCAGCCTTTGGGGGGCTTACAATACAATCCGCTGCTCTGACCGTATGGTCACAAGGCTAAAGGCAACACATTCTTGTTAAAGTTAGGTTATTCGATGCTATTCGATCAACTCAATGCTACTACAGTGACCTGCGTAAGAGAGAAGATGATAGGGAATGAGTGCTCAGATGACACCGGTAGTTATACCTGTACGGGGGTCATCAGAGGTCACACATTACTTTGTTGGTATGAATACTCGACCTGCGCAAGATGAGATATTCAGTGAGAAGGACTGCCTGCTCCTGCATCAACATGTTCGATTTGTCCTTGGGCAAGACACTTAACCCCAAATTTCTCTCGCTACCTCGTCGGTGGCGTATGAATGCGTATGAATGGGATTAGTTACTTCTGATGGACTCCCTACATAGCAACCTCTGCCATCAGTGTTTGACATACGGTGTAAAAGCGCTTTGAGTAGTCAGAAGACTAGAAAAGAGCGATATAAGCTCAAGTCCATTTCCCATTTAATTTGAGTTTTGTGTCAGTGACAGATTCCACTGATGTGTAAAGTTAAGACCAAACAGGACATGACAAACTGTTTAATCATCAAATGTGAGACGTACTGTATATATCAAACACTTCTTCTATGAGTCACATTTCTCTATTTTATGTGTCACAACAGACTTTCTGGCTGTGGACTCTCAGAGACTCACTGTGACGTCATAGCCTCAGCTTTGAAGTCCAACCCCTCCCACCTCAGAGAGCTGGACATGAGTCGGAACAACGACCTGAAGGATTCAGTCGTGAAGCTACTGGCTGGACTGGAGAGTCCAAACTGCAGACTGGAGACTCTGAGGTCAGATCACTGACTGTAATATATATATGTCTGTCATAGAAACTGTGTTTTAATTTATTAAAGGTTAGCCCCTTGAGCTGCATCGTCTCATCTTTAAGGGCGTCCTAACACAAATATAAAGTAATACACAAACATCCAAAACAGCATTACTTAACAGACACACTTACAATCACACAAATACAGACTGACTGAACAGTATGTAGAGTGACTCAAAGGAGGGAAATGAAGTCTGTGATGGGATAGTTTTCTGTGTTCACAGACTCAACATTGTGCTCCATCAGTCGGAGTGTAACAGTCTGAATATTGTTGTAGTACCAAATAGCTCCACCAGGTAATGCCTCTGTTGTGTTCTGAGTGTGTGATAGAAAGAGTTGTTGATCTCTGACCTCCATCATCATGTGTGTAAGACAGTGAGAGACGGTATCCATCCATCTACTTTAATGAATGAAGTATCCAGTTGCGGCTTATAAAATGCAACAACACCTGCTGCCCCCCTCCCCCTCCCTGTATGTAAAGAGCCTTTTACCTGCACACAAATTAAAAAGAAACCCCTCCAGAGATCAAAATGTAAGCTGTATGCCAACAATAAAAACAATTGACATTCACCATTCAAATACAAATTAACACACGCAGGAATAAGAATAAAACCCTTTATACAATTAAAATCACAGATTAAAATGAGACCTGTCCAATATAGAGCAGCCCTCTGTTACAGCTGCGCAGCAGCATTTATAAGGCAAGGTACAGCAGTGTAATTATTATTTAAGTGTCCAACAAGAGGCTGTCTCTTTAAAACAGCTGTGCAACTGGTAAAAGCTTTAAGTCCAGGAGTGTGCTTCCCCCTCTGCTTACACTTTGTGACTATATGATCCGTAGTCTCGATAATATCAGAAGTATGTCTAGAATTCTTTGACACACGGCTAAACTAAGGTCAACTGTTAGCCTGGTCCGGAGCAGACTTGTTCCCTAGCATAGACTTGTTGAAATATGCGATGATTCTGCTTAATCCTGCTTCATGGAATGACTCCAAGCTATCCTGGGATTTCTGCTAATTGCTATCTGCAGCTAGCTTCTCCACCTGTACCAGCCACGTTACAAGATGATGTCAGTGCTGATGGTCCAGAGTGAACACCATCAGCTGGGTGGTGTGGTTATCATTCAAACAGAGCTAAGAGTCATAAACAGTCTTGTGCTGGAAATTTCTGTTAACAATGCAAAAGAAAGGATCATGAGTCAATCAATGTCTTCGTTTAGTTAAATTCTTCTTGCAAGTAGAAGGAACAAAGCTTCAGAGTGTCAATACAGTCTGAAGCTCGAAGTAATCACAATATGCTTGGGTACATGCTTCACAGAAAAACCTTCATGCCTATATAAGAATTGCTGATACAGGCGCAGTCAAATATCAAATACATTTCGTCATGACTTTTAACACGTCGCACAACAGTAATGTCAAGGAAACTTCAAGTCTGAGTATCGTTGATATTTAGCTATTTGTAAGCAACCTTCATCCTTGGGTAAAGAGAAAACAAGAATATTACGTATTAAATTATTGTTGCATTTCTCACGTGAGCTGTGAGTAAAATGTGTCCTGGACAGTTAACAGAATTTTTCCATTACACTAACACAGGCCACAGTGTCATACCAACGCAGGATTCAAGCTCTGATGAAGAGTCCAGAAAAAAACACAAAGGAGGCAGGTGGGACCAGTCAGAGAGTTGATCATTTAGAGCAAGTTTAGACTGAGTTTTTGTAACGTTTCTATATCCTGTCAAAGTATTCCAGATTTAGGAATCATCTTCATGCAGAGATTTCTGATAATGTGGAGAACAGCTTAAAACTACTCATGAAGATGAAAAACAACGTGCACATGAAGCCTCTGGTTTCCTCTGGTTCTGTTAAGAAGTGAAATCATGAAGACTTTGGATTAAATAATGTGTTGAGCTGACTGAGATCAGCAGCCTGTTCTTCATCTGTGTACATGAACAGCTGTATGAATGTTGTGCTGACATTTGGAGGATTTAGATTTAGTGAATACACAATCAGAAATGATCCTCTAATCATTTAGAGAAAACTTTATTCATCAGGACAAAGTGATGTTGACCTGAACACATGAGTGGATTATACATTATTTTTATTCTTCATTTATTCTTTATTCAGATTGAAGTACTGCAGTTTGTCAGAGATCAGCTGTTCTTCTCTGGCCTCAGCTCTGAAGTCCAACCCCTCACATCTCAGAAAGCTGGACCTGAGCGACAACAAAAAGCTGCAGGATTCAGGAGTGAAGCTGCTGTGTGATTATCTGCAGAGTCCAAACTGCAGACTGGAGACTCTGAGGTCAGATCACTTACTGTAATATATATATATATATATATATATATATATATATATATATATATATATATATATATATATATGTATATAATAGAAACTGTGTTTGAATTGATTCAAGGTTAGCACATTTGAGATGCATCGTCTCATCTTTAAGGGTGTGCAAGTCAGAGCCAAAGCCCCATTTCTTTTAATCATCACCAACATACACTGCTCACACACACACACACACACACACACACACACACACACACACACACACACACACACTCTGGAGGGAGCTCCAGCCACCACGCGTACCTGTTTACTTTAAGTTTAACAGAACAGAGTTGATCCGTACGGCAAGTCAGGAAAACCTGTGACCCGGTCAAACGGTCGGTCCGACTTTTCTCCGTTCACGCTCACCGTGTCTGCAGCTAACTTAGCGATAGCAACGTCATCTCACAGCCTGCTGTCTGAACTTTTCCACACAGACACTGTGAAACAGTGCTGCGTTATAAACAAAGATATGTCACTTGTAAATACACGCTCCACTTTTTACTTCCATCACATGCAGCAGGAACAGTCAGAGACACACCCAACTCCAATAATTAACAGTCTGCTTATATTAAGTGTTTGATATTATCAAAGTTAAATAAAATAAAAACTTTTTTGTGTATTAAAGCAGATTGATCATTATCAGATGGATATTTTGTTTTAGTTTGTAATGTTGTAATACAGGGGCGGTTAAGAGCTGACTGAGATCAGCAGCCTGTTCTTCATCTGTGCACATGAACAGCTGTATGAATGTTGTGCTAACATTTGGAGGATTTAGATTTAGCGAATACACAATCAGAAATGATCCTCTAATCATTTAGAGAAAACTTTATTCATCAGGACAAAGTGATGTTGAGATACTCATCACAACCTGAACACATGTGAGTGGATTATACATTATTTTTAATTTATTCTTTATTCAGGTTGAGTGAGTGCAGTTTGTCAGAGATCAGCTGTTCTTCTCTGGCCTCAGCTCTGAAAACCAATCCCTCCCATCTCAGAGAGCTGGACCTGAGTGGGAACGAGAAGCTGCAGGATTCAGGAGTGAAGCTGCTGTGTCAGGGACTGCAGAGTCCAAACTGCAGACTGGAGACTCTGAGGTCAGACACATTTTCTTTCTTTGAGTCTGTGCTACTATTCAACACCTCAGGAATGATGAACACTGTGTGAATCCTAACGTAAAAATAAGCTGAACACCATGAAACAAGCTAACATTAGCTCTGCTGAGATCAGCAGCCTGTTCTTCATCTGTATACATGAACAGCTGTATGAATGTTGTGCTGACATTTGGAGGATTTAGATAAAGTGGATACACAATCAGAAATGATCCTCTAATCATTTAGAGAAAACGTTATTCATCAGGACAAAGTGATGTTGACCGGAACACATGTGAGTGGATTATATAAATTATTTTTTTCTTCATTTATTCTTTATTCAGATTGAGGGGCTGCAGTTTGTCAGCGGTCAGCTGTTCTTCTCTGGCCTCAGCAGTGAAGAAGTCCAACCCCTCCCATCTCAGAGAGCTGGACCTGAGAGGGAATAACAAGTTGCAGGATTCAGATGTGAAGCTGCTGAGTGATCTTGAAAAGAATCCAAACTATCGACTGGAGACTCTGAGGTCAGACTCTTAGTGTTCTTAAGTAAACCCTCCACATATCAGGTCATACATATATTCAGATTCTTGTTGTTTTTTAGTTTTCCTCAGATTGCAGGGATCACAAAGACCTGATCTTCAGAGCATGAAGAGAGATGTGTTGAAACTTCTGTCTCTAGAAGAACATTGTTAGCAGCAGTTGAAAATGATTTATGATTTCTGTGATCTCTCTTCTTCTCTCATTAGCTTGCGATGGTGATCTCGTAATGTGAGCGATAAGGACGCTGGTGGTGCAGAGAGGAGCAGCTGTGTCCTGATGAGCCACAGAGGATGAACCTCCACCATCTTGTGGGTGGAGAAGCTCTGAAAGCTGAGGAGAGCTTCATCCATCAGGGACTGACAGAGGAATCACATCAGAGCTCATTTCAGTTATATTTCTAATGATAATAATAATAGAATCATTTGTTCTCCACACATTACAGGAGTGGAAGGTCAAACATGAAGCAGCTAGTAGAAATGTTAAGGGATCAAACTCTACCAAGAAATGCTGCAGTTATTCTTCTCGTGACAATTATTTTGATTCTATTTTTTACAAAAAGTACAAACCAGAACTTGATCATATGTAACATGTATTAAAGTAATCTTCTCTTTATAACCTCTTTAAAACATGCCCTGCACTCCTAAAATGTCCTGACCTCATCGGGCTGAGCTGCATGTGTGAATAGGAAGTGTCCTTTCACACTAAGTGATAATAAAACATAATGAACTTCAGAACACAGAGTTTGTGTCTTTTTTGTTTTCACTATCAGAATTGCTTCTTTATTGCCAAGTAGGCTACATTTACACATACAAGGAATCAAAAACAGCAAGAATTTAAGTTAAAGCTGCCCAAATAAATACTTATTCTTAAAGATGGAGTCGGTAGAAATGTTGGCTGCAGCTTGTAAACACAACATTCAAACTGGGCCCCTCATGTAATGTGTACGTTTACTGCTTGTAACTACACTGCAAGCTAGCACACAAGCTAACTGCTGGTGTTTGTCACCTGCCTGTCCAACAGGAAGCAGACCAACTCCACGTCCACGGCTAAAAGCCAACACAAGGTTCACCCTCGTTTTAGAATGAGTTTTATCCGCTTGGTGTTTCTCCTCACTGCTATTGGTTAAAACTGCAGCAGCCATGGCAACGACATTGATTGACATATTTAAAGACAAATCAGTGTTGTTAGCATGGTGTGTTGTTTTGGTTAAACCCGGGACATATTAGTGATTTATAGATATTTGTGGGGACTCGGGACTCAGAGCTTGTAAACGGGTCCCGGGTCAAATCAGGACGTGTGGTGGTCACCCTATTAATGCTAACTGTTGCCAACACGTTAGCTTGTTGCACGGCTCCCAAAAAGAAGTGCAGCTTATACAGCAGTTTTTAAAGAATACAGCTGAAACATATCCACCTCCATTCAGCACACACTATCCATACTGTAACATAAAATAAAGCAGAACATAACAAAGTGTTTTCTTGAAGCATTTATTGGTAAGAGTCCATAAAAAATGAACATGTCTTTGATATCTCTACATTTCCACCTTTCAAACAACCAGGAGAACAAATACTGAAGGAAACATCAAATGATGAACACCGGGATGAGAAATCTTTTACAAAAACACCCACGAGAGGTGGACACTCTGTCTCCTCTCTACTGAAGACGTCTCTCTCTTCTAGTCGTAAATAAGCGTCCTCTGAGCAGATTGACCTTCGCCTGTTCTTTTCTATTCACGCTATCCCCAGTTATTGTTCCATCGTATCAAAAAACAAGACGGCTGCTTGAATTCTGCTCCGGCCTAAAATTCAAACACAAAATTAAAAAGACAAGAAGTCCAATCACGGAGATTAAGTGTCTAAACGTGTCACTTTACATCCGTCGGCCCACCCACAATAAATACAGCGATTAAAAAAAGCTTCACTACTAAAATGTTTCTTGGACAAAAACACAACATGAAGGTGAGATCTCTGCAGGCCGACCTCTGACCCCAACCCTAACCTGCACCACAATATTACACTAATCATGGATGGCGCTTCTGCCGACAACTATACATATTCATGTGTGTGTGTGTGTGTGTGTGTGTGTGTGTGTGTGTGTGTGTGTGTGTGTGTGTGTGTGTGTGTGTGTTTAAAAAAAGGCTCCGAGTCCACCAAACCGAGGGAAGTGTCGAGCAGCTCTTTTCTTTTTCGACTCAGCCTCCTTCGGCCACAGTTTCTTCCTCTTGGTGTCCGTGTGTCCTGAAACAGAAGAAGAGGAAACAGTGTCAGTAAATATGTTATCAAATATAATATGATGCAGTCCCTCTCTCTTATAAGACTCCTATAGGGAGGGTTTATACGCTGCAACACAATGCTTAATATTTAATTTTCTTTAAGATGAAAACAACATTTGCTGGCTGTAAAATGTTTTTTTTAAAGTAGGAAGTAATGGAAAGACAAGTGCTCAACAGTTTGGTTCAGGAAGTAAAAACCTCGTTCATTTTCTCCATAGCCGATATTATTACTAGCAGTGATGTCATAACCACCACAGGTAGACTGACCACCAGCTAACACGGTTTATTCAAGATATCGGGGGAAAATAACTACACTACCCACGACCATACAGTGTCACAGCTTCGTCTCTGATTGGTGGAGCTCGCTGTTACCATGGCAATGTTTCCCTCTCTGCAACATATGTGACAATAGTTTTGAAAGCTAACAGGAAAAGTGCTAATCACCTCGTTATGTTGCAGTGAATGTAATTTATATTTTCAACAACACAAGGTATTACAACACTTGAGTTCACAGAATAAACACGATAACAACGACTTAATTACATTTAGAAGAAGAGGTATTATTCACAATGGATTGTGGATGTGTAGTTCCTTGACTC